CCCCCCCCCCGTAGCTTAGCTGAGACATGAGATCCTGATGCATATTGATATTTGCATATTCATTTGTATTTGATATTGTCTATTTATGCCTGGAATTCCTGGCATTTAGTAGCTATTTATTTACAAATACGGGGCAAGGTAATACTTCTAAAGCTCCATTAGCTGTGTTGTGAATGTCATTATAGCTGTCTACATTATTTCATCAGTAATTCATTATCCTGTTTTATATAACTGAAGTTTTTAATGGCATTAAAACTACTGTAAGAATTAAAATAATTCTTAATTTCTTTCTGCCCCCAAACATCAGGCCTAGAGCCTGTGAGTCCTGTCTACCACTGCTGCTATCTGAAACTGTTTAGAATCACCAAACAAGAGCATAAAATTCAAGGCTGTGCAAAGTTTCACTGACAGATCAAAGAATGTCCTGGCCACACTGCTCCAGTGGAGCTGGAATAACTAAAAAGAGAAATCTCCAGAGGAGGAAGAGAGGGAGAAAGGGAAGGGGAAGGGAGGGAAGAGGGCAAAGAACAGAAAGCAGGACGAGCGGGAAAGGGAAGGAGGGAAGGAGGGAGCGGAGGAGTCTACAGCAGAGATTCATTCCCTGGGTATATTTACTATCAGAGAGAAAAACAGGCAAACTGTTAGGACAAAAACATCCATCACCAGAACCATGACAGAGGAAGTGGTCAGAAATGTTCCTGCACAAGTAGAGGAACAAACCAGAAGCACCTGCATAGCCAGGACATCCCTACCAAGTGGACATGAACCTCCCACAGACGGCGGGAGGTCAGCAAGCCCAACCTTCCCACTGGCAGACTCTTTCTTTTTATCCCTGTGGACATAGAAGGGACTATATAAGCCTAACCTCCTTATCAGAAAGCAAACTGGTACCTCGCTTCAACAACCAGTACAGAAAAGTCTGCAGAACTGCTAACCGGAACTCTCTAGAAGTGGAAAAACCACAGGGAGTTATATGAAAGGCAGAGGACACGGCTATTAGTCTGGACCATAACTTACTCGGGTGAGTTATGCCTGCATTTTTGTTAAGGCTTCTGGAAACTGTATGTCCGCCTCCTTGCTTTTTAGTCAGCTATCATATTAAACCCTTTAAAATGTCAAAAGATCACACATTTGCTTCACGACGACGAAAGGCAGAGAATAACAGTAAGACGCGTGCAGTGCAGGTGAGTGAGAACCGCACTGAACGTCCAGCCATTCAGCCCAGCTCTCCCTCCACAGCTGCCCGCAGGCCCCGCCCTCCTTCCTGCACACTGTTGACTCAAGTGACTTCCAGCTACCGGATCTGAATCCCAGACCTTCAATGTCTGCGCAAGTGCTGTAGGTATACGCTTCAACCTGCCCATAAGGTCAGTTCTCACTAATCTTTCTAGCTCCTTAGTGAGGCAAGAGGGAATGAAATCTGTTCAGAGATCTAAAAAAGAAAACCAGTGACCCTAGGAGAGGCCTGTCTGCCAGTCCAGCCTTCCCTAGTGCTCTACTGAGCCAACCCTGGTCCATTCTAACCCAACAGGCCTCAGGGATGCTGAGTCAGATCGGCAGGGCAGAGGCAGGGTGGGATGCGATGCCATGAAACAAATTTTAGTAAAGTGATACCTACAAATACTACTTAGTTCCAGATTGAGATGTAGCTAATGCTGATTGGGTTTTAAAATAATCTAGCCAGGAACCTGTATTAGGAGCAGGAGTGGCTTAGCAAAACAGCAAAGGTTTTAGAGCTGGTTAGACCTTCCCACAGTGCCCGCCTTGCCCCAACTGGAAAGGGAGCCTGAGCAGAGAAGGAACGGCAGCTTTCCTGATAGGCCTGGCAGATTCCCACCCACCATCTCTCCTGGCTTAAACGGGGGCAGTAGAAATGCCAGCCATTTAACGCGGCGGCTACATGTACGTTTGGCTTTTGAAGTTCTTCCCTCACACTCACAAAACTAGTCCAACTAGGCCAAAGAAAAAGAACGGTTGCTCCGACCTACAAACCTAAAAATGCAAGTGCATAAAGCCATAAGAGCCTCGGAGTGGGGGGGAAAAAGAAAGACTAAACCCATTACATTTCCAAGGGCTACTAAAAACTACCCAGAAAGCACAAGGACATCAAGTTCAAGAGAGGGTCCGATTCTTCATTATGCTGCATTTACTGTACAATTATTAGTTGAAAGACACAGTGCCTTTCAGAGGGCAACTGCTCAGAAAACTTTCACTGAATGAAGCCCAGGCCTCAGAGCCCGGCACAGTGAAGTTTCAATAATGCTAACTATAAATCTTATCGGTATCATAATCTTAACAGGCCAGATGGATAGTCCCGGGAATGAAACTGTTATGTTCTAAAGGCAGACGGTAAAAGGGGGATGACCACCATGCTATTTTAACTTGCATAGTTAAAAATTAACATTCTCCCACCCCAGATTCAGAGAAAATTAAATCACCTCCATATCAAGAAAAGATTAAGATAAAAAAATCTATAATCTGGAGGGTTCTTCCTGTTACCACCTGATCTCATCTATGATAGTTTTTTCCTTTCAACCTCAGGTCATGCGGGCTGCCCCAGACCCTTCCAAATCTACCCCAGAAGACAGGCTTTGTCCTTCCCTTTTGGAGGTCAGGAACAGTCTCTTCTGGGTCTTGGAAGATATATGCTGATACATTTCTAGTAAGACTTATCTCACAAACACAATAAATCGTAACAATAAAAAAAAAAGCAACAGCTGGCATTTCATTTACTGTGGATACTATGCTACTGCCATCAATATATTATCTCATTTCATTCCCATAAAACTCCCATCATATTATTGTTTTTGACACTTCCATTGCACTAATGTGAACTATGAAGTATAGGGGTAACGAAACATGTTTACAAACACCAGACCCCGCATTCAAACCCATATTATCCCCCCTGACTACCTGGACTCCCAATCCTTGAGATTACAGACTGCCTCTCCAAAAACGAGACTGGATGGTAACTAGCTAACTATGTCTCTAATATGAGTCCTGCTGGAAGACAGAATTGCCAGGAATCAAAATTCTCTGTGTTCAATGCCATAATAAGGACGTGTCTAACATAGGGAGAAACGCCCTTGAAATGTCTTTTCATGCAAGAAAGGTTTTAGGTTTTGTTTGCATGTTTTTTACTTCCAAAGTTCTGGACCTCAGCATTATTATAATAAAGGTTTATCCACAGATGACAGAGCTGCTTGCGGAGGTGGTGAGGGTCTGACAGCAGACGTGTTTACATTCAGGTCATGGAGGAAACCTGAAAAGTGGAAGTTGGTTAACTCATGACTGTAAGCATGGCTTAAGGATCTTTGCTGAGACTTAGTACTAGAGACCAGAGAATCCAATAGTCTAAATCAACTTGAAAATAATTTAACATAATAAGTAAAACTATTTCTACCTGTAATCCCAATATACCACGTAAAAAGACTCACTGCTTCAGGAATAATAAAAAAGGCACGGCTAACCAGGGCCTTGAAATAACCCCTGCTGCCAGCTACAACAGTCGCAGGGCCTTTACTCTCCTCTGACAGCCCCTCCCTTTCTCACCAGTGCCACCTCGCCACCCTGGAGAACCTTCAGGCTAAAGAGATGGTCTAGCAATCCCACAGAGAAAGCCGTTCACAGGCCAGCTTGTGCCCGAATGCTGGAGGATCTCCAAAAATAAAAATCCAAAAACCTATTACTTCCCATTCTCAATAAAAAATAAACAGTTAAAGAATTCTGTGACTAAATCTGTATGTACATTACTCTAAAATTATTATAGGATTAGACTCAAATATGAAAGAGGGAGTGAGAAAGAGAGAGAGGAAGGAGGGGAGGAGAGGGAGGGAGAGGGAGAGGAGGGAGAGGGAGAGAGAGAGGGAGAGAGGGAGAGGGGGACAGAGGGAGAGAGGGAGGGAGAGGAGGAGAGACAGG